AAAATAATCAGTGCAGCAAAAGGATATGGACTTAGCGGTAAATCACCTCTCTAATAAGCACCGCATCAGCTCTGTGCTTGAAATTGTGAGTTTCCCCAGTATTAAAACAATAAACAAGCAAACAAACTTTCAGAAAATATTTGGGGCTCTTAATTAGAGAAAATATTTCTGTGAAAATTTTATCGCAGTCAAAAAAATTTAAATATTGTAATGAAACTCCAAATACAAATAAGTCACCCATCCTATACTTATAATCCCCTTTCTATTCCACCCAAAACCAGCTATATATTTTATGCTTCAGCCTAAGATTATAAGTGAAACAACTCCTAAAAATTTATAGATAAGTTTAAGTTCACTCATGTAAGCATGTGCCTCTTATCAAAAATAGAGAATGTCACAATCTCAAAAGTGATGAGCATGTGACATAGTTATCTAACAGTTATTTTCAAAAGATTATTATACATAGGGCTTTCTTTTATACAAAGTAATCATAAATAACATGACCAGTTAAAGATACTTTTTAATCACTAAAATTCCAGCAGCATTCTTTATCTTTCAAAGAGTGAAAATAATCATAGTTGGTCTCAATGTTAATATCTAGACATAAGTAGATACATTTTAGGTTTTTATCATATGTTAAAACATCTTAGGGAAACAGTTTCATTTTATATAATTAAAACAAACTAATGACAAAATAACGAAATAAAGCAATTAGTAAGGAATAAAGTTTGTATGGAAAAATTTGAGTATTTCAGACAATAAAATAATTTTCAAATAAACCTTGAACTCTTGTTGTGATTCATATTAATATTAAAGTGCTTCCTTAGTTTTTTTTATGTGTATGAGGCTTTTAGGCCTTGCACTTGCTAGCAGTTGTACCATTTGAGCTACCATCTGCCTTTTTTTTGTTAACTTTAGTTATTTCTTTGCATAGAGTTTTACATCTCCCCCCTCCACCATCCCCTCTCCCGGCCCAGGCCTGATTCAAACCATTATACTACATAAATTAAATTTCCAGACACATATCATAAATCTGACTTCTTGGTCAAGATGGGGTCTTGGCAACTTTTTACAGAGGCTAGCTTTGAACCATGATCTTTATAATCTCCGTCTCCCACATAGCAGGGATTATAGGTACAGGACAGCACATCTAGTTCTTAAGCTAGTTTTATGTGACAGAGAATTTAAATGAGAGCAAGAGCATGCCATGGGCAATTCTTAAACTGAATGACTGCTTTTTTTTCTTCCGATTTCTACAATTAGCAAATGGAATAATTCTAACTTAATTCATTCTTGCTTCCCATACCTTTTACATAGTAGGCAGGCTAATGGGTTTCTCAGACACTTGAAACTGGCAGAGTGCAGATCCAAAGCGGGTAGCCTCATCCCACTTCCAGAGTGGTATTTCAAATGTGCATTTTAGCTATTCCCTAAACTTTCAGAACTGACCTAAACTTTCGGTATCTATAATGAAGTATTACTTCTGTGAAAAAACTAAATCTCAAATATTGACAACGCTAGTTTTAATACTTGCCCAAGACATTCTATTTGCTTACATTTGTAGAAACTCCTAGGTTATGTGATATTAATGTAACAGCTTCCAGATAGCTCTACAAAATTTGTTCTGATGAACACATACACACACACACACACACACACACACACACACAGAGGAGCAGAAATTCTACCCTAGGTATTGCATGCAATGTAAGAATGCACGGCTATCATTTCATTACAACTTTTTCTAAAACCCAAAAAAAACAACCAAAATCACCTTGTAGTCTTCTTTTTCAGATTTCCTTATACAAGTGATCTAATGATCAATGTGTTTAACCTCAATCACTTCACAAGAGAAAAAAAGTTCCATTTTAAAGAAAAAAAATGTTATTCCTTCAGGTAAAGGCCAAGGTTGACACTGGCAAGATGCTAAAAATCTGTTTCCATGCCTGCGTTCCATGCACTTCCTCTCCCTTCCCCTCCCTATGTTTCACCACTATCCAACGACCCCAGCAAACCTCCACTCTTTTGCCCCAGTCACTGATGCAAGTACCTAATCATAGCAACCAAGTTATTGAGCACTTAGCAATCATACACAAGTTGCCGGGATAAATAAGAGGAGAAGAGAGACAAAATATTTTAAAAGGACATGTCAACTGCTAAAAATGTATACTAAGGGTCCAGGTCTAGCTGTCAGATTTTGTTTTATTCTTGAATCCAGAGGTTTAGGAATACAAGTGGTTAGAGACTAAATATTTCCCCAGATATAAAGTGCTATTCTTATTCCATTTTGTAAAGTCAGGAGAGTAAATGGAGTTGCAGGCTGGTGCAGATGAAAAGTTGCTCATATCCACAAGAATAGTGGGCTAGAGCAGGAATGAAATCTGGGTCTGATTCCAGAGTCTGGTAAATAAACTCAAGCCAGGATCACAGAAACTACAGGGTCCTAAATAAACCTAGTTGTGTTGTTACTTCAACCCAGCTTCAAAAGGCTCTCAATAGTAAAATGGGAGGCAGATTAGGCCTCTTTCATTATATGGAAGTTGTGAGACTCTCTGTGGCCTATTAAAAATGGAACCAAGCCTGGCGCTGGTGGGTCACGCCTTTAATCCTAGTTTCTCAGGAGGCTGAGATCTGAGGATCACAGTTCAAAGCCAGTCCAGGTAGGAAAGTCTGTGAGACTCTTATCTCCAATAAACCACTAGAAAACCAGAAGTAGCACTGTGGCTCAAGTGGTAGAGTGCTTGCCTTGAGCTGAGGAGCACAGGGAAAATGCCCAAGCCCAGAGTTGAAGCCCCATGACCAACCAAAAAAAAAAAAGTGGAACCATTTTTCACTCATAAAGACAATAAAAGAAGAGACAGGCTCTGTTTTTATAGCAGTTAATGCATTAGCTATACATAAATCCTTTTTTATATGCTTTTATAAGCTTTTTATAAGTCAAACAACTAGGCTAATTTTTGTAAAACAACATTTCTAGTTGTAACATGAAATTAGCTTTCAGGATATAAACATTATAATTCTAACACACTATATGAGATTTGACCCCAACAAATCTTTTTTTTTGATCGGTCATGGGGTTTGATATCTGGGCCTGGGCGCTGACCCTCAGCTCTTTTGCTCAAGGCTACCGCTCTACCACTTGAGCCACAGCACCACTTCCGGTTTTCTGAGTGGTGTATTAGAGATAAGAGTCTTACAGGCTTTACTGCCCAGGCTGGCTTTGAAACAGGATCCTTAGATCTCAGCCTCCTGAGTAGCTAGGATTACAGGCATGAGCCACCAGTGCCTGGCTTGACCCTAAGAAATCTTAAACAAAATTAAAATTTAGTATTTGGTGAGAGATAAACCTTGAACTTATTAAACACTTTCTGGTAACCTATCTATACTCATAATCAAAACATGAAAATTCACAGGGAAACATTTATGAAGAAACTTTTATAATCATAACTAAATTCATCATTAATATTTTACACTGATAATTAATAACATTAAAAAAACCTTCAGACCTCTAAGACATTGTCACTCCAGTTTTTGAAACTATATCATTCCATAAAAAGATTAACAGCCAAGGTCTTCAGGCTGAAAAAATTCTGTTTTCTATTAACATAGAAACACAGTAAAACATAAAATAATTCTGAAAGAGGTTAAGGAATGTTATTATTTTTTACATGTTTTTGAAGTTGATTCAGAAAATATAGTAACATGGTGCTGAAATACAACCAGTTTGCTCACATTGGAGCTTGCTCCAACACTGGTCACAAGACAAGTTTGATTATATATGTTGGAACATTGTAGATGACAGAAAGGCTGTTTTGAGAATAGCCTCTTCATTTTCAGAAATATTATCAAATTTCTTTTTGACATGCTTGCTATTACATATATATTGCTTCATGACCTTGAAGAAAACCTTAGAAATGCTGATGAGAGTTTCAACACCAAAATGACTCACTAAGAAAGAGTCACAGGAAACCGCTAACACTTTTCCTTTGCTTGAATTGCTTCACTTTAAGGTTCATTCTTTCTATCCTGGCTATCCTTCCATAACGCTGGTATGATTTTATAATATTGTTTATATTGATTACACTGTTATGCAGAGTTTTTATTACAACCATGCCCACACACACACACACACACACACACACACAGAGTACATGGCACATTTAAGACTTCTTCATTGTCCTTGTATATTTTATGAGATGAACTCCCTAACTCCAAAAACATTATATTATTTTCAAGGAATAAGTATGTCCTCTAAAATAATCATTTAAGACTAACAGATATGTAGAGTCATGGCCTCCTTCTGTAAGGGGAAATGATAATAAAATGACCTCAGAGTCAAAACCATCATGGAAGCAAATATCAAAATGATTGCAGTAAGGCTTTGCCAAGAGTCTAAGCAAGATTTCTAAAGTCAATGATTTTGCTGCATATAAACTACAGCAGAGATTACAGGCAAGTACAATTTTCTTCGTGTTTTATGGAGGAAAAGCTTTCTTTGTAAGAGTGAACTGGTTTCAGGATTTTAAGTAGGTGAGAATTTCACTTTATCTGAATAACTTAAGTGTACTTGCCCTACGCGATAACAATTCATGGCATATTTAATTATGCAACTGTTTTTGATCATTGTTAGAACTAAGAACGTTAAGAAAAACAGTGTTGATTCTAACACTAGCAAGTTATTAATGGGAAAAAATTAGCAGGTAAATGAAGAAAGATGAAGTAAATCTCTAGCAAATTGTCTACTGTCTGAACATTAAAATTAAATCATTCCTAGAACCTAAATTCCTAAATCCTTACTGATTTCATTAAAGTTTTATTGAGCTTCTCATTATATATAACTTGGACATCATTAAAGACCTTCAGAAAAGTGGCATACTGGGCAGTTAAAAAAATTAAAAAAAAAAAAAAAAAACACTGAGCAGTATTTCACACTCAACACAACACCTATTAGAACACTTTAAAGAGCAACTCATTCAGTTTCTCTTTTGCATAGGTCTTACCTTGGCTCCTTCTGAAGGCAAATCATGGCGTCTGTGTTTCCGCATAAGCACTGGGTCAGAGCCCATTCTATTGTGCCTTCCATTTGTGTTTGAGCTTGCTGTGATTCCAGGCTTAGGTGAGCCATCCCCCAGGATGCGACAGCTTACCAATGGATTAGTCCCAAACACATCCCTAGGGCACCAGGCTTCAAGAGGCATTGGCTGGTCCCTGGAAGGCACACTTTCCACATGATGGAAGTGTCTGCTCAGTCTGTTGTCAGGTGGAATTGGGGGAGGTCTCTCAGGTGGAGGGGGAGGAGGATCTCTTAAAGGAGGAGGAGGTGCTGGGAGGGGCTTGTCTTGCTTTCTCACCATGCAGGGAGAAGACTAAAGAGACACAAAAGAAGAGAAAAGGAAGAAACAAACAGAAAAAAAAGACATAACTGAAAGTTACACCATATACTGAAATGACTCCTAGACTTCTATATTTATTTTCTAAGTCAAAGTGGCATATTATTAGATTTCTATGTAAATCTTTTAATACATTTATTTTCATCACACATGAAATATTTAGTGAAAAGCTAACATGAATATGATTTTAAGTAGTTGTACAAAGGAGTTGTCATTTAACAAAGCAATGTATGAACACAACACATCTTGATCAATATCAACCCTTTCATTAAGATGTTTTGTAAATATGAGTTTACAAAAACAAATATACTGTAGAAACTATACAGAAAGAAATAGAAGATTAAAGTTACAAAACATTGATGACATTACAATATCTATGGAATCCATTCACATATTTCTGTGCTTAGGAAAAAGAAGAATTCCATTAAGATTAGCATTATTTTACATTTTTTCCACAAAAAGTATATTGCTAATATTTCTGGAAGACAAAAAACATTATTTTTTGTAAATTGCCATATTTATCACTTAAAAATACTGAGACTAATACGAGGCGAAGTTGCTCTGGTGCTTTATTAGTTACTGCTGAACAGTAAAAATCATCAAGTAATGGTGACAAATTATTTACTGAGTAACTCGAATTTTGTGGATTTTTAAAAAGACAATTATTTCAGTTTTTATGAGGAAATATGTAGGAATACACTCCTGAATTGAATATGAACCCTTCATAGCTTTTGATTTTTATTTACATGATTAATCTGAGGAAGTATGCTCTTAATACTAAAAAGTATCAGAGAAATAAAAGAATTGCTGCATGTTTACACTATTCTAAGTCATATCCTAGTAAGTTTTTCATATGAGCTTAAATCAAGTTAAGGGAAAAGCTAGCACTAATAAAATATCTTGCTAAAAAAATAAATAAAATATCTTGCTGATTTTAGATTGTGAAACCTATAATCCAATGGAATTAATTTTTAAAATATGATGTTATGTAAAGTATAATAGGTCCTAATAAATTTGAAAAAAAGAATCCACATAAAACTAAAACAAACTGTTGGCTTGAATTTATGATTAGTTATGTCTTTAATATTAAACAGTAATGTAATTACTTTGCAAATATTGTAATTCATTGTAATTAATTCCTACAGGTATCAAAAGTACACATAATTCTCTCTCTGAGTCACCTTGAAACATGGGTGATAATTTATCATACCTTAAACCCTTATGCAAAAAATACCCCCTTCGCATTTTTCTTGTCATGATATTATGAAACTGAGTATAAAATACCATTTGATAACAGCATGCAAATTCTATTAATGCATATAATGACCTTTTAAATCTACTTTATAGAATAACTATACTTATGCTGCCATTTGAGTAAATCAGGAGCTACAGATATGCTCTCTCTGAATAGTTATACAATAATTATAGTAATAAAAGAAGAAGTAGGGGTAGCCAGGAGCCGGTGGCCTGTAATCCTAGCTACACAGGAGGCTGAGATCTGAGGATCATGGTTCAAAGCCAGCCCAGGCAGGAAAGTCCATGAGACTCTTATCTCCAATAAACCACTAGACAACTAGAAGCGGTGTTATGGCTCAAGTGGTAGAGCACTGGCCATGAGGTGAAGAGGGCAGGGACAGCGGCCAAGCCCAGAGTTCAAGCCCCACGACCAACCAAAAAAAAAAAAGGAGTAGGATAGTGTGTTTAACATCAACAAAATGAGAAGCTCATCAAAGTTGTTCATAAAACCACAAGAAATAGGGATTCTAGAAGGATATGATCATTGTTGTGTAATAGGACAGACTTACCTTTGGTGAACCAGTTGGGCTGCCACAGGGAGATCGGACGATGCCTTTCTGAATTAGATCCAGGCGAGGAGGCACTGGAGGCAGGCTGAGATGTGGAACCTGCAGAGGATCTGTCTGGGGTTTTCTTCTCTGAGCAAGAGGGGAAGATCCTGGTGAGGTGACTGGTGAGTTCTGCCTGTCAGCGCACTACAACAGAAAGCCACAAAGATGCCACTGTGTGCTAGATGCTCATGGCTTCAGTTCAGGCCTCTCATTTCTTATGGAGTTGTTTGGTTTGCATAAGGAATGTGTTACTGTATAGCTTTTAGATGTAAACTCTGAATAACAGATGCGAGAGTGCATATTGTCTCTCAAGGGTAATATTACAAAATGAACAGACAGATAGGCTTCCACTACACGTAGCAGAAAGAGAACAGGAAAAGGAACAAGAATCAGGGCAAACAACCCAAAATGACATTTCTAAAGAAACTGATGTACCTGGGTAAGGTACAGCATGCCTGTAAGCCTAGCTACTAGTGTGGCTAAGACTGGGAAGACTGAGATTTGAGGCCAGCCTGGGGAAAATGTCTGACAGAACCTCATGTGAGCCAACAATAGCTGGGGATTGTGGCATAGAATATCATCTCAGCTTCACAGGGAGTATATAAACAGGAGGATCATTTTCCAGGCTAGCTCTCAGAATAAATACAAAACTCTATCTCAAAAAAACACCATAAAGGTCTGGTGGTATATCGCAAATGGCAGAGTACCTGCCCAGCAAGCACAAGGCCCTAAACTGAAATCTCAGTACTACCAAAACAAAAAAGAAGAAAAAGAAGAGGAGGAAGAGAAAGAGGAGGAGGAGGAGGAGAGGGGGAGGTGGGAGAGGAGGAGGAGGGAGAGTAGGAAATGAGGGGGAAAGGAATGAAGGAGAAAGAGAAAAAGAAAAGGGAAGAGGCCATCTATGGTATCCTATGAAGAGGCCAGAAGCTACCTAAAGTAGTAATACATATTGCTCCTGGTTATCTAGATTATAAAATATTCTGACACTTCAAGAATTCTAAAACTTAGAAACATTTTCTACTACCTAGTAAAGTCAATTTTCCTACCTAATTAAATCAATTAAATTAAATTAATTAAATAGAATAAATGAATATTTAGAATAAGTTTTAAGTCAAAATATTTTGTGTATACATTCACATTTTAAAAAATCCCAATTAAATGTTTATTCTTTAAACAATATAGAAAAGTAAACTTCTGTTAAAATCAATGACTTTCTATGCTGCTATAAATATTCCTTTATTGATAAAACAACATAAAAAAGCAAGTAACAAGTATTTTTTTTAACTGTAGGTTTCGAGCATACTAATTCTGTGGAAGTTTTGAGTTCTATGTATGTGTTTAATGTGCATAGCCTGATTGCTATTTGGTATAAAAACTATGGTAGTTACTCAAATAGCCTGACTAGAATAAGCAGGATACTGTTTGAAATACCAGACAGTTTCCTTTCCAGGGCTAAATTACTTAGCTCTTTGAAGATTCAGACTTGACTTTTATAACCTCCTACATTCATTTATCATGTTTGATATTCATCTGTTTCTGAATTCAGTAATCATTTATAGTTCTAAGTGTGCCTTTAAGCCTTTTCCTTCTAATATTATTCAGTGTTACAAAAAGCAGTTGATGTCACTACTGGACAAGTAGCAGCACTGAATTCTGACAGCATCTGATCTGGAAGGTGATAACAGATTCACACTCACATCCACACTAAGAAATACTATGTAAAACACTGTCCCAATTAACTCAAATTCATAATTTATTCAGGCTTCCTTATTGTGTATTTAATATCCTTTTTCTTAATCAGACACACTTTTAGAGTACTATTAGTTGTAGTTTTCATAACCCCCTGGCTTACTTCTTAATTTTTTTAACTTTAATTTTGATGATTTTGCTTTTGTGATTTATTGTGACAATTGATTTCAATGGCCTTGACAACTTCATGTTCTATTGACCAGACATGTTACAGAATGCTCCTTTATTGGGATTTGACTACTGTTTTCTTTTTTTTTTTTTTTTGGGTCCGGTCGTGGGGCCTGAACTCTGGGCCTGGGCGCTGTCCCTCAGCTCTTCAGCTCAAGGCTAGCGCTCTACCACTTGAGCCACAGCGCCACTTCTGGCATTTTTCTTTTTGCTTATGTGGTGCTGAGGAATCGAACCCAGGGCCTCGAGCATGCAAGGCAAGCGCTCTACCACTGAGCCACCTTCCCAGCCCCTACTGTTTTCTTATGATTAAGTTTCTGGGGAAAATACCATAGAAATAGCCATTTTGATCACATCATAGCTGGGGTTCATATTGCTGATAGTGACTTTGATTAACTGCCTGAGGTATTCAGTGTTTCTCACGTTTCTTTGCTGTTGATTTCTTCTTCTTTGTTGTATTCTTTGCTGTAGTGTATTCTTTGCCAGGAAGTCACTGTATAGCCCACACTTAGTTGTTTTTTTTTTTAAATAAATTTGAATGACTACCAGGTATATAACCAAAGGAAATGAATCATTATATGGAAAAGACACCCACGCTCCCTTCTGTATTACACTACTATTCAAAATAGCCAGGATATGGAACAAAACAATATATTCAGCAACAGAGGAGAAGATCAAGAAAATGTAAAGTGTACATAATGAAATCTTATTAGTCATAACAAGGCATGGAATACTATCACTCTGGAACATGGACAGAAAATTAGGCAAGTGAAATAAATTAAGAAAAACATTGCTTGTTCTCACTCATTCATTCATGAGGAGCTACAGAAGTTGAGGGTAGAATAGTGGTCATGAGAACGTAAGTGTATATGGCAAGGGGTTAGAGACAGCGTAAATGTGTACCAAACTGCAGGTGGTAGGAAGAATCAAAACTAACGTTTCATAATGTGTAACCAGTTAATTCAAAATAACAAAAGAGTTTAAAGATTCCTCCAAAACAGAAATCACAAATGTGCAAAGACATGGAGATGCTAATTAACTTGATTTGATAATTCTACATTGGAAACATGTAGTTAAATATAATTACACATAATTTTATGCAACAATTTCTAAAAATGTTTTTCTTAGTTTTGTGATAGTTCATCGATTTCTTAGCATGGTACGATTTTTAATATTTCATAAGTGGTTACTAAAGCTGGAAAAGTAGAATCTCTTCCATTGCAAACTGGTTTTTGTTCAGCTGGTGAGTAGTGTAACACTCTTACCCTTTCCTTTATTTTTTTATTTTTGTTTTTGTCAGCCATGGGGCTTGAACTCTGGGCCTGGGTGCTATCCCTGAGCTCTTCAGCTCAAGGTGAACACTCTACCACTTGAGCCACAGTGCTACTTCCCCTTTATTTTTCAGTTAGTATCTTGTGCTACTTTTGTCTAGAATAGAGTGGACATGCATCCTCCTGCTGGGATGACAAATGCATGCCACCACACCTGGCTTTGACAGAATTCTTCTCGTGTCGAATAAGATACTAATGACTAGTATAATACATATAGGAATAATTTTAGCACAAAATCCTCAGAGAAAAGGGCCCAAGAAGTAGTTAAAAACCCATCACCACACACTTCGCAATTACTGATAATAAGGAAGGATACATTCTCTTTTAGTCACTCTTCATTTTATCCACACCTTTAAAAAATGCCTTTATATATGCCTTAATAAGATCCATTATTATGGAAATGGCAAAATATTTGGTAAGAAAGTAGCCAGGCTATTATAAAAACTGGACAGGAGAGAAATCTCTCAAATTACTAGACAGAGGAGAGTTCTGACAATCCCAGAGATAATCAAAGTCAGCTTTATAATGGTGAGATTTTTTACTTAATGAATTTTTATTACTGAGTAAGGTAGACACATGTATTATAATTAGGAGGATGAAAATACCTAGTCAATGTTTCCCCAAACTTCATGGACATGAAATGATTGATAGTCTTTTATCAAATAAAGCAAAATAGCCTAAGTATACTTTTCCTTGCTGCTGTTTATTTTCATTTGTTACTAATTTGTAAACTCCAAAAAATCAAAAGCATTTAAAATATCACATACAGACTGTTATGAGAAGGCATATACCATAGTAATACTTACACAGCAACCAAACATCCACATATACTTATAGTTCTATAAAAGGGAATTTCTAATGTTATCTATTTTGGAATATCTCTACCATTAGTTTCTTTCAGTTAATAAACAAAATGTGATATAACACATGTAGTATACATGAAATAAAATTACTTCCTGCTTATTCACACAATGTTCCCAAACACCTTAATCTATAAATATTTACAAAGAAATTCTGAGCAAGATTGAAATCGTCTCTCACAGGTAAGAGTTCTATTGCAAAGTTTTTCTTATTAAAGAATATAGGCACTTTGGTTCTTTCTGAGAACAGAGACCATTTGATTTGATGTGTTTTAAAATGAACTAATATCTTTGTTTCCTTAAGTTACTTCTGGAAATTTTTCAAATATTACAAATTAAAAGTAATAAAGAAAAATGAAGGGTTACAAAGTTGGAATGGATAACTACTAAATGATATGAGAGGTAATTTAATTTTTGATGAACAGTATTGTCCATGAGGTCTGCTCTAGAGGAATATAGTGTCACACATGGTAACAACCCCAAGGGCAGTTCTCTATTAAAGTAATAAATATTGCTCATCACATGGGGGTATTCTGTTGCTCCTTGAAATACTTATAAAGGGTGAAGCTGGATTTCCGACCTGTGACTAGACACTATAACCTTGAAATCTGTTTGAAGTTTCATATTTAATTTTAAACATTTAGAAGACTTTTTCATCCTGATCCAAATACATATGTGATTCTAATTTCAATTTGTTCCCCTTCATTCATGCAACTCATCCCTAAATCTTGTACAAAATCTAAGCTTCCAGAAATATGTTGTATTGACTGGGATAGCTTCTTATGCCCTTTGGTTCACTCAGCTGCATAAGTAATTTTGAAAAGTCAGGGAAGGGTGACATATAATTCAGAAGTATTTCCATAAAAATGGCAGAGAAACAAGAACTTTGTGGGAATTAAAGGAATAAATTTTAGTCACTGAAAAAGTGCCTTCATGTGAAACCCTTTATTGCTCCCCAAATACCAGGTAAAGCTGATTTGAACAAAAAGCAATTACTATGTGGCAACTTTACTTCTTAAGGTTCTTCTCTCTAACTTTAGAGAATTCTTAATCATTTACACTTATGTATAGCACAGAAAACAAGTACAGTGTAAATTACATCATGGGCATGGGTAAGCAGGAAGTTACTTTGATGCAATCATTCAATGAAACCATAACTATGCAAACAAGATATTTAAAAAAAAAAAACAACCAATTGCTTTCTAAACAAATACAGTTTTGTTGTCTAATCCTTTTAAAATAGAATGAAAAATAGCATGAAAAATAGCAATATCTAAAAGAAAAACCTTTTTGTAGCTCTCTCAAAAACAATGATTATTTTTATAAAAATATCTTAGACATTTTAATTTGTAATATATGAAAATAATGTAATAGCAACAAATACTTAGCTTTTTTTTTATTTATTTTTTATTATTTTGCCAGTCCTGGGCTTGAACTCAGGGCCTGGGCACTGTCCCTGAGCTTCTTTTGCTCAAGCCTAGCACTCTACCCCTTGAGCCACAATGCCATTTCCAGCTTTTTCTGTTTATGTGGTACTGAGGAATCGAACCCAGGACTTCATGCTGAGCCACATTCCCAGCCCTGGTAGCTTTTACTACATATCAAAATTATTATGATGACTTTGCATGAATTAAGTCCTATATTTAACCTTAGCGCCAAAGGGTACATACTGCATGGTTCCAAACCTAGATAGGAACTGAGGTAGAATGACTCAGTATTATTTCAGAACAGTAAAGTTAAAAACAGTGCCACCGCTGATCACTCAGCAAATCTTTTCTCCGGAGCCTACACAGAATTATGTGACTCTCTGAGAATGGAGAAGGCTCAGACCCTCTCCCTCAAGAAGCTGACTGCTAGGAAAGGTAGATTCCACACTAAGTACAAGAGTACAAGTGCTGTACTATGCTGTATATTCAAGCTCTAACATGGACTCTGCTTGTATCATTAGAACCTAAATAAAATACATAAAAGGCAGTACCTTCATAAAAAAAAAAACTACAAAACACTGTCGTTTGTATGTATAAATCCTTTCCTAGGTCTTTTTTTATAATTTTTATTTTTTATAATCTTTTATAAAATTATAATTAGGAAAAGCAATAATTAGATGACACAGTTATTAATGAGCAATACATTTCATTTTACAAAGGAAACACTAAGATAATCTAGAAAGACAGAAAAGAATAATTTCCTCCAACTCTAGTCATACTATTTTCAGTCTAATATACTGTCATTTATTAAGATTTATAAAAGTTGTTTTAGAAAAATGTAATATTTAAGACAATAGGAATTATTTTACATCTATTCATAGTTCAACCTATCAATGTTTTATATATTAATTCTTGTTGATTTTATATTTAATTTATGTATTTGCTGATTAATATGCCCTGAAAACGTAACTATCAACAAACTATTAAGAATCCCCATGCAGTTTGGCAAAAGGATGCAAATCTCTATTTGGCAAAAGATACTTTTCCTTAGCTCTGGTCTGATTGAACTAAGGGAAGGCTGTGGTATTCTCAGCAACCACACTTGAATTTCCTTTGACAGCTCACATCAGATCCACTTATCCTGGAAATCTGAATTCACATAATGGTATAGATTTAGGCAAAATCTAAAATATGTGGTTAATGCCATTAATTTCCTTCCATCTAAGAAGGCACCACAGCTCAGGGTTTCAAAGACTTGTATTTGCTTCTGTGAAGAGTAACATTAATATACTTAATTAATAAAAGGAATAATAAAAAAATACATTCTATATGTTCAGTATGCACAGGATATCACCATGGTAACAAGAAAACACAATCAGACCTCTACAGTGTGATAGATGGATTATTAATTTACAGAATGCAATAAGCTTAAGATAGGCAGAAATATTTTCACAATTTAGTCATCAATGAGCTCATAAAAGATAAGAAAAGTAGTATTTTGAAAAAGCAGATTAAAAAATGAGTTATTCCCCTAGACAATGACTGATAGTCACTCTTGGAGCTGAGAAAATGAAATAAAGTAAATGAGTGGTCTGAGTTGAATGAATAAGGCAATAAAATGATTATAAAACACAGAGGAAATTCATATAGAAGAGCTACTATGTTGAAATTACCATAGGATATTTATTCATTTATCCTATAAAACAGTACTAGATAAAAACCTCAGTTTGATGTATACACACACACACACACACACACACACACACACACACACATTTTCAGATTGGAACAGAAAGAAAAAGATGCCTAAGTTCTGATCACTACCCTCAAGGAATAGGTACACAAATAAGCATACTTTGACTCAGTGAGTAAATATCCCCTGCATTTAAGTACCAAAGAGCATGATGTTAACTCAGATATTCATGCCTTAACAATGAATAGCTAATAGAGAAAACAGTCCTCTAAATAGTACCTATGAACATAATGAATAGGAACATAATATCACAGTATTACATTCCTAATTATTCAAATAATTTATGTATACATCAATACAAAATTAAGGTTCTATTAAAAATTAAATGTCAGCTATTAAAAAAATACTACAAAAGTCAAAATCTATCTAAGCAGCCAGAGGCAAATAAATGGACATAATGACTATAAAAAAAAAAATCACTCCTCCACTTACAAATTCCCTCAAGTTCTTTAAATTTCTGCAGTTTCTAACTGCCATAAGGAGGGTGTAACACTTTCATAAAAGCTTTATTAAGTGACACAAGCCACTGAAGTGTGACTGCTGGGTCAAAAAAGCCTGAGCAGATCCTCTTCTCTTGATCAGGTAAACAACGGAGAAGATTAATATGAAAATGTCTCAGTCTCCTGAGAGGAAGTTTACCAGCTGCCAGGGAGAAGAAAGCAAGGAAGGCCTAAGGCCAAGATGAAGGATCAAGCCCGCTCACCTCAGTCACCTGGGTACTGGGATTCTTAGTGCCTCCTTTCTACTGTAAGAGCCACTACTACTAAGAGAGGCCCAAGCTTTCCCTAACTCAATGCAGAGGCCAAGACCACAACTTTCCTCAAACTCACAGTCTATTTCTTTTTAAATTTTCTCCAAGCAATAAAGTATACAACGTTCTTGAAAGAATTGCTCGTAAAACTTTAGCCTCTGTCTCTATATCAAATAGTGAAAGAAAATCTATTTAGTAAAGAAAATTGAGATGATATTTTCCTAGATAGAAAGCATTTCTCCCTAGGTCTTTGAACTACTGGGCTGTTGTGATTTTGAAACACTTTACTCCCTATTACCCACACATTCAAAAAAAAAAAGAAAAGAAAAAAAAATTCTTTAAATATGCACTGTGTCTTACACTAGATTACAACCTCTTCTTAAAGGGCTAAATAGGAAATTATGCAAGTACTTATAGAATCAGTTAAATGTACACTGTTTAGGTGTTCCATTTTTGTTGGTTTATATAAAAAAAAGGTCCAGGGTGCTTATATGTTTATTAAATGTAGAGCTTATATATATATATATATATATATATATATATATATATATATATATATATACATATATATATATATATACATATATATATATATATATATATATAATTGTTATTTCACAGAAAAAAAAGGGCCATGAATCAGTAAAAATCTACATTGGTAGCTTACTGCCTTACTCTCCCAATGACTGGGGGGAAGTATTATGTTTTGCATCTTTTAGATAAGGAAATGGGCTCAGAGTAGACATGTGACTGGTATATATTACTGGGTTGTGAAGCAGGAATTGACAAATGACAAAGTAGTGTCTCTACTACTTCAAATATGCTCTACCACACACATGAAGAGGTGAAATGATTCCTAGTCACAGATGATACAGTGTAGTCTGGGACATTTATCACACAACATTAATTTTAATTAATACTGAGAATAAAACAAAAACATTAAGTTTAAGTGACCCAACATTGCCTTTGGTTATTAAATTCTTGATCTGATTCATTCATCCACATTTCTCTTGTTTTTGTTTTTGTTTTTTTTTTTACAGAAGAGGAAACTGAGAAATAAAAAAGTTAGGAAATTGCCTGAGATTGCAGTATTGCTCTATACCAGAACTGGTACTTTACTCTAGGTCTTCTTATAGTCTTTGTGCTTGTGGGCATTTTAGATCACATCTGGCTCAGAGAAGTCTAGGTACAGCCACATTTCCAGTTTGTAACTGGCATTCTGGTTCACTTCACAGTTTTCACAGTCCTGTGAACTTGGTTATGCAAATATCAAAGGGCAGTAATAGCTATTTTTGATCAACTAATAAGGTCTATTCTCTGAACTAGCTAGTTTGAAGAGAAAACTTCAGAATATGATAAGTTTACAAAGATAAGTCTCTTGTGATCTCTTAGAAACAAAGATTTAATATATCCTAGTAAGAAAACAATTCCAACACACATTCTAGCCTTAATAAAAATACATCAGGCTCAGTTTTACCTTTTTTTTTTTTTTTTTTGGTCCGGTCGTGGGGCCTGAACTCTGGGCCTGAGTGCTGTCCCTCAGCTCTTCAGCTCAAGGCTAGTGCTCTACCACTTGAGCCACAGCGCCACTTCCGGCTTTTTTCTTTTTGCTTATGTGGTGCTGAGGAATCGAACCCAGGGCCTTGAGCATGCAAGGCAAGCGCTCTACCACTGAGCCACCTTCCCAGCCCAGTTTTACCATTTTTAAATTTGATAAAAATCCTTGGTTAAATTTTTCTTTACAGATGAGTTGTCCGGTCTTAGAGGCTTGATTCCACTCTGCTCCTTCTCATCATTCAGTATATAGACTGTTCTTCTATCATTTAATAAGCTTAAGAAAACTGCCATTTGCACTCAGCCATACTCCTTTTGGTAACAGTGCATTTTCATGTCTTCTCACCATCCTATCTAATGTCATGATTTCTAGTTTTACCTTTCGAACATTGGCCAGCCGATTCATCATCAATGACTCCTCCCTATCATCATCATCATCTAGGTCCAGCATTGGCATCCCAAAGGGGTCAATGATGCTGCAGCACCTGGAGCCTTCGTCTCGAGGATCAAAGGGGTCCACGATTATGGGCTCCGTTCCTTTTATTTCACAACGACAGAAAGGGCAGCCCTGGCCATCAGACTCCTAAACAAATAGAAAATACAGATTGATCCTTGTTTATGCCTAATAGAGCAGTATCAATATCCAACATGTATACAAAGTTGTAACACACTGTAGAGTGGATAGAAGTGGGGGAAGACAGGGCTTGATGACATAGGAGAGATACAATAGGAAGTTCAAAAATACAAATAAACTAAGAATTTCAAATTTACCAAGGAGTTTCTTATGAAAAATATTTTGATTTATCAAAGGAGCTTAACTCTTCATTTCCCTGAAAGTTCATTCAGAAACCTAGAGCTATTTACTACCGTTCTGTTTCTGCATGGTAGCCTGAAAATATAGTACAGTTAAAAAAATTCAAATCCATAAAATCATTTCAAGGGTGAGATGGAATAAATTATATCAAGTAAGGATCAAAAAGAGATGTTATCCTAAGAAAGAACCATCTCATGGTGGTAAGTCATGTCTATAATCTCAACCAGTCATCAGGATAAGGAGACTGCAAGCATGGCAGTTTGAGGCCACCCAGGATAAAACATTACTGAAACTATCTCAATAAATGAGGCATTGTGGTGTATGTCTTTAGTTCCAGTTATGGCCAGAGGCATTAGGTGCAAAGAACATGATCTGAGGCCATTCTCAAACAAACAAAAAAACAAAAACAAAACAAAAAACAAACAAAAATGAGAAAAAAAAATAATGAACTGAAACTGGGGCTGGAGTGATAAAGTACCTTACTAGAAAGTTTGCCGAGTGTTCAAATTTCAACCCTACACGAGAACAGAACAGAACAGAACAGAAAGGAAAAGAAAGGGAAAAAAGGAAGGGAAGGGAAGGGAAGGGAAGGGAAGGGGAAGACAAACAGAAAGAGAATGGAAGGGGAGAGGAGGGAAGGGGAGGAGAAGAGAGTTGGAATTGGAGGGGAAGAAAGGGGAAGGGAAGGGAAGAAACAATCTCATACTAGACTCTGAACTGGGCCCTCCACTTGGATTAATGGGAAATTTATGAACTCCCTGCCTTAGGTCATGCTTGAGTCAAAGGTAAAATTATTATTTTTTGTACTCTTCTGATTGAATAATCATATTTCTGATTAATCAAATTAAATATCTCCATTGCTGTGTAAATTGTCAAAAAAAGAAAATGAATACCTCTGCGATTACTTAATGAACAGCAATGACAACAGTCTCATATTCCCATGCTTTAATATAACACGAAGAAAAATTTGGTAAAGTACAGTTGTTCAACTAAGGCACAATGAAGAATGCAGACCGGCTTTGATGTTACTACCACACATGTGTAGGTCTGATGGATTCATAACACCTTAAATATTATTTGGCCCACATTTTCTTACATGATCAAGCTAAGACCAAGTTCTTCTATTTTAGGTAACCTCTTTACACTGTAAATTTCAATATGGTAATAGTACTTAAGGAAAATGGGGTAAATATTTAAAGAAATTTAACCTTCATTTTACCTTCCAATAACATATTATATTCATAAATTGCTTTGTTAAATGGCAGCTCCTTGGTACAACTACTTAAAATAATGTGAAAAAATTTAAAGTACTTAATATATGTTATCAACTAGGCAAAATCTTCTTACTGTGTATAAAAGGGATCTAAATTGGGTGCATTATGGAATTTTCTAACAAATTTACATTCTATGAGGGACTTCAGGCACTTTCAAAAATCTAGTTCTTTGAACATGTATAAGCTGTGAGTAAGCTCATGTTCTCTCTTTTTTTTAAAAGGAAAATGGAAAGCAGTTTCTTGAGTCCCAAGTGGATATTTGGTAAATGTTCATGTAAATACTTTTAAAATTACTTTAGAAAATTTAAAACATATACATTAAAGAGAAATGATTAATGAATCTCTACATACCACCAATTATCAATAATCAACTATGCCTAGTTTCTTTTTTTTTTGGGGGGGGGGCTAGTTTCTTTTATGCCCTCACTACTCCCTCCACTTTTAGGTTATTTTGAAACAAATCCTACATTTTACATAAATTCATCCACAAATAATTTTGCATGTGTAGCGACATATGACACACTTTTTAGAACCTGACAACCCTACAACTATTATAACTATGAATTATTATACTCAATTTCAATCAGGAGATCTAAATATTGTTTAATGCAATGCCCATAATGTATCATCTACTTATCAGGCACCAGAGGTTTCTCTTGAAACTTCCAATGTTAATTACATGTTGTTTGGTTAAGGAAGACTTCTAATTTATTCCAGCTATTTCCTCATAAAAGTAATTGAACGACTTTACTTTTAAAGAAGAAAGACTTGGTAAAAGGTACTAACAGTGTCTTGACAATCTAAGAAAAAGACTAAGACTGGTTCATCTAAAACCGAATTACCACCCCAATAATTTAATGTTATTTAAATTTCTGACGTGTTCCAGCAGGTATTATAAATATCACAAGAGTTATTTTCTGCAAAATTATAGCTGTTGTTGAGAGTTTACACTACACACAGGTCAACAAACAGGTATAATGAATACTTCTTTTAATTTACAAATAGATCACACTGTCTGTCTTCTTACTGGTACCCATCACTCTTTCTTTATAAACTGACTATAGTCATATGCAAAGTAGCAATCCTACAAATTTTCAAATGCTGCTTTGGTTATACTACCCAAGTTTCTGTTATAGTGTTCATTGAATACATATGAGGAATGTCTACAATACACATATAACTCTTCAAGATTATGCCTCAATATTTAAAATAATGTTTTTGTCAATGTATATTTCACTCAAGACCAACCAGTAGATGTTAATGAGGAAAGATCAATGAATAAATCCTTTCTCTGGTCTCCAAAATATTTACATCTTGTGAATATTAAGAGGAACTAATTAAGACTTCTTCTATTTTAATTGACTCAGTAGCTTTCACTTCCTCATATAAGAGGTATTTCCAAATTAAAGGACCTCAAAGTGATCAGAGAATATTAATGGACATCTGGAAACTTACCTATGTAATATACTCATGATAATGCAATCCAGACTCACATTCCAAACGTTAATTGTGTAAGCTGATAATACTATACATAAATGTAACTTTAGGTCATCTAAAAGTAAATTAGCTGTGACAGAAAGTGGGAAGAAATAAACTTTCAAAAGACAAGTTTTCCTACTCTCAAAATAGTATTGTAAGAAAAACTAATTAAATACCACCAATACGAGTTAATCATCACCACCATCAAATACATGAATTTGACCAAAATACATTACATACATTGTAAATATCACAATGTAGTCACCTAGTTCTTTCAATAGTTGATTGGAGGTAATAAAAATTAACATAAGTAAAAAGTACTATTTAATTAAATATAGATAGTACAATAGATTTGCATGAAACATGATTACAAGATGCAAAGAGTGCATGCTTACATGTACAGTATACATGGGGGACTGGAAGGCATATGTTCAGCCTCATGCATCTCATTTGCTTGGAGCACATTTTATAATTTCCTATGGTAGATGAGCACGTGTATGTTTTTCCTCATCAGTTAATTCTCTATTACTTTTCTGTATTTTATTTGATAATCTAGAGTTACTTTAAGTAACTTTACGAGCACAGTAATTATATTCCTAAAATCATATAAACAGGTAGACTAAGAGTAGAGTGAGTCTATAGTAGGCATTTTCAGAGCATAGCATTGCCCACAGGTATTCCATAGCTTCTTGTTGAATGAAAGAGTAAATAGCAGCTGAAGGCTGAGGCTAAATGCACCATAAGGAAGAGATTTCATTTTGATGCTATCTCTTAATGGATATGGGAGGAAAACACCTGTGAGTCTAGACTCACTTCTGGCTTTGACTTAGTAGATCTATTAAAACATGTACTGTGAACCAAAAAAAAAAAGACACAACATTCTTAATATGACTGACACTGTGTGACACTAGATCATTCATTGCATCTTAATTGCAAGGTATAATGACATAATGAAGAATTCAAGGAATATTATGTCTATTATAATGACTAATGATTAAATGGAATAAGCCAGGCTACTTAGTACATGACTATAATTCCAGGTACTGGCAAGGTAAAGGCAAGAGAAAGAAGAATTTGAAGATAGTCTAGATAAAGTTAGTGAGACTTTATCTCAAATAAAAGAAGAGCAAGGTTGGGGGAGGGGATAATATATTGATTGAGTGGTAAAATATGTGCCTAGAACGTAAATTTAGTCTTTTGTATCACAAACAAGAACATAGCATTTGTCTTCCTAAGAATGCTTTGAAGTGGGGAGTCCATCAGTGTGAGTCATAAGACTCAGAGTCAATCATTTCCTTAGATTTGTCTCCTTTTCATAAAGTTTTGGAAAACTCGTTTCTCTCATCACTCCTCAAATGAGAGAGGACTCCTACCTTTTTATCGTGCTTAGAGAAAAATATAACTTGGATTCAAAGCAGAAATATCAACTTCCAGCATTCTGAAAGGAAAGGAGAATGTGGAAGGGTAGTTGCTTTTGAGGAAAGATACCAAAAAACATTATTTATTTGTCTTAAATGTGATGACTTGAGCTTGCTTCTTACATCTTTTAGCCAACTTCTCAGTATTTCTTGTTAATAGTACTGCTGAAGAGAGGCCATCCATAAATCTAATAATATATATTATTAAAATCAGAGTTCATGGATTTTCTTCTGCTGAGTTTTTTGAGAACTAGGACTTTGGAACTTTAAAGTATTTTGGAGAAATGTCAAGAAAGTATAACAATCAGAGGGAAAAAAATCAATTTCATTTTTAATTGAATCAAAATCCCTGGCAGTAATTCAAAACATGGCTCCATAATTAATTTTTGTTTTGCATAGAAATTCGGAAGAACTCAGTTTGGACTTTATGCCATTCAGGAGCTCAGGTCATTTTCAGGTTAAAGCAGACACTGAATATTTTAGGTAAGGAAGCTGTGGGGAAGGCAATGAAGATAAATATTTTGTTAATACCCCATTACTATGTGGAACTGAAAGAACCCTTCTCAAGCTTTATTAACCAAGGATAAAAGAAAGAAGTTCCATACCACAGTTAGGCTGCTTCAGAGGATGCCCTTAGAAATGTGATTATTTGACTTGCTTGAGTATTCTGTACAAACTCTACATGCTTACTTATTAAATAACACATGTTTCAGAAGGAGATAAAAGGCATCTGACACCTTTTTTGGGGGGGAGGGTGAGGATAACTAATGGACCATTATGACAGCAATTAAAGAGTTACCACTTATGGCCTGTAACAACTAACTGACACTGCTGCCCTTCTTAGGTTTTTCTGTTAATTACATGAAATTTAAGTCTGTAATGAATTTCAATTAAATCTAAGTAGGGCATAAAATGGGAGGAGATGTTGGTGAAGAATGACTAGCTAAAAATGCACACTGGTTGAACATGTTATATTTTATTGTCAAGGTTAAATATTTCCAGTTGGATTATGACTGATTTATCACAGTGTCTTGGCAGGCAGGCAGCCTTTGAAATCATTTTCACATTGGAAAGCCTAACCAAAAAGTGCAAAGTAACAAAAAAATGTCTAGCATCCATAATTAAATATGAAGGATAACAGGGTATTCATTGCAAGTAATTATTAATATTTTCCTCCTCTATAAAACTTTCAGATACAATTTTAACTTCTTGAGGGTAGAAATGTGTCTGAATTTTCTTCTTTGCACCGAGATGAACACAGACTCTAGGATACAACAGCTAGGTAATGAATATGAGATGAATAAATAGATTTAGATCTTTGGGGATGATGATCCAAGTCTGCTTCTACCAAATTACTTAAGCAAAACAAGAGAATTTCCCCATGCATAATTTAGCTGAAAATTAAAAATTTTTCTCTTATATGGAAAACAACCATATAACGAAATCAACCACTGACCTTAGAAAGTATACAATATAATATTGCCTACTTCGTGCTATTTTTAAATACAGAAAAAGCCAAAAGAAGAGAGATATACAGTACTACCTGTTCCAAAGTCCATTACCCCAAAAGTCTGAACATAGTCCAACTACACTGATGAGTTTAGATACGAGGTTTGACAATGTATTGCACATAAACCCCTTTCAGTTTGCGTAAGTACAATAAGTTCAACACAGAGGCTACAGATACAAGATTGAACAACACCAAGTGCTTTTCATCTCTCTTTTAACTGTGTTAACTTCTCATAAGACTTTTTATTTTTGTTAATAAGGAGGCAATTTTTACTAATGCTTTAAAAGGATCAAGTAACTGCTGTTCATGTATTACCATGAAAACTGTCAAAAAGGACCTGTTGGTTGGCAGGCAGCATTGCTATTACTACAAAATCTGTATGCAAATGTAAAAATATCAGGTTAGCCAAAAGTGGGAAAGGTCAGCATTGAAGCTTCCTTGACCAGTAAGATCCGGATTTATATAGAGGGACTCAGAAAGACAAGTAGGATTACCAAGACTTGTCCTAAGTAATATTTAGGGAAAAGGAAACTTGAATGAAGGATCGCTGTGAGTGCTTGACACAGCCTCCAGTGCTTGACAATTATGTACTTCCTCAACTTCTACAAGTAAAGAGCAAATGTTAACAACTTAGAAGTATGATTGGCCAGAATAAAATCTAAGGAAAGCCGATCATATGAAAACCTCATGAAATGCATCAAGTAACCAATAAGCAACCAATAAGAAGGATCGTACCATTTGTAGAACGTGTAGATGGCTAACTAATAACATTAATAACAAATATGAATCAGCCCCATGCCTTCTGCACAAAAGACTTTGTATAAATTGTCTAAAAAGATAATAAAATAAATGGAGAATGGAAGAGAGAGAGAGAGAGAGACAGACAGACTGAGTGACTGACCTTCAAGAATTATAAAGAATAAACCAAGACAATTTTCGTTGTTTCATTTTCAGCCATACTCTGTAACTTACCCTGAGCTACAGGATAAACAACTGTTTTATGTAATTCTTCAAACAATATCTTTTACTAAAACAAAGTTTCTTCCAAACTAACCAAACCTTCTGACACTTAATCCCTGTGACTCAAGTACAGTATCAGGCAAAAAGATGTGAATTCCAACAACAGGGAACACGGATGCATTCGCTCCAGGACCAGACCTCTGTGAAAATCAGCTAAAAGGTACAAAACCTGTACAGATACAGAGAGCAGCAAGAGAAGCTTGTTCTACCCTAAAATTCTGCTTTTCTTTAAAAAGACATGAGAAACTTTTTGTTTCCTTGTACCTGTGACCACAGCAAATGCCTGTGTCAATCCACAGGATAATGAATACAAGTTGGCCTCTCTATCAATCCAGTTCTTAATGAAATATTGAAAGGGTTTCAACTAAACAGTCCCAAGTAGTTACAACCACTGAATCCACATTAACTCTGCAATACCCACTAATGTATATTTCAAGTATACTTGCAGAGTAGTACATACACATTCGCTACAAGTCGTTTGTAAAAGGTGTTACTAAGTTTACACTTATTACCAGCTGCTACATGCTGAAATGCTTTTTATTGATGCCATGAAGAAGAGTCCCTTTGTGCAAACATCAACCTTGCCATACTATGCAAAATTTGTCAACACAATGAAGGAAAAACGAAAAATATGGGCCAGCACATCAAGAAAATCTAAGGAAAATGTAACCCCAAAGCATATTGAAGGGGGAATGTGGATGCATGTGGAAGCGTTTAACTGAACCACTTACAGCTCAGCCTTTTAAATGCAGATGTAAATGTAATTGTAATTATATTTGTAATTATTTTATTTATAATTACCAACCAAGTATTATATTTATTACCTAGCAATGATCTCAACAATTAGTTATGCCTCTCTGAGACTCTTTGCCTCTTTCTCTGAAACTCCTTGCTCATATAAGAAAATGTTCATATTGGAGAATGAAGATCAAGCATTGGCAGGTTTAGGAATAAGGGACGGATGAATGTGTATGTGTGTGTATACACACACACACACACACACACACACACACACACACACACAGAGATGTGTATATACATTTACATATGTATATATTTATAAGTACATTTCATATATTAAAGGCTTAATAATTATTTGCTCTCTAAACATCAACATATAACTAGGTTCAATATGACTGTAAACAGTAGTGGCAAAATGGCTTGATGAACATATTCTGTTTATCTTCTAAACAGCCAAAACAAGAATTCTGACCTTCTCCAACTTTATCTTTACAGATAAGGAAATATTAATAAATCTTTGGGCAAATCAGTTATTTTACATCTTATTGTAAAATATCTTCCTATACATAGGAAGGTAGTTTGTCTTGCATTCAGCCCCTATAAACTGGAAATTTTAATATCTGACATGGGGTAAACTATTTGCTAGATATTTTCCTCTGATTTTTAGCCTCTATTTTAATCTATTTTAGCCCTACAAAGACATACGAGAAACAAGGGACTCATTTCTGAATAAGGAAGGAGACTTGGTTAAAAACGACAGTGTAACATTTGTCTCAGAATTTAATTTTGTTTATTTTAATTTGTTTCAGAATCTGCCTGACTCCTGCATTATTCTATATGCATATGAGTAGGTGGTGATATCTGTATACACATGGGTAGGTAGTAGTATTTGTGTTATCTTGAAATTAATTGTACTGCTCAAATAGAAGTACTTAGAGCTAACATAAAATTAATGATAAAGAAACAAAATTTCAAATTATGTAAGATCAAACATAAGCTTTATATAAACATTTCAAATAAAATGCTTATCTGTATTATGCCCTTAATCATTAAGATGAAGAAAACTAAAAAAAGGAAGTCTGAAAAGGGACATAAGCCAGACATGCTGCTGGTGAGACCCAAGTTGTACCTGCCATGCTGTTAGACAAGAAGTGCACATCAAATGCCCACAGGGCTCGATCTTGACATCTTTATCATTCTCTGCACAGATCTTACAGAGCTGAAAGGTAGAGCCCATTTCACAATACAGTTCATATTGTTCCTGGAATATAGAGGAGGGAGTTGGCCAACGTTAATGTATTTCTCTCATGAAGTTAATATTACATGTCACACATGATCCCATTGGCATTACACTACAATTTAAGACATGTTATAATGGATAATCACAATCCAGTCTGTAAAATCCATTTTTGAAACATCTGCGCTTTTACCAACAAATCGGTCCGTGGGCCTACAACTCTGGGCCTGGGCACTGTCCTTCAGCTCTTCAACTCAAGGCAAGCTCTCTACCACTTAAGCTACAGCGCCACTTCTGGATTTTTGGTGGTTAAGTGGAGTTAAGAGTCTCACAGACTTTCCTGCCTGGGCTGGCTTTAAACCGTGATCCTCAGATCTCAGTCTCCTAGTAGCTAGGATTACAGTCATGAACCATAGGTGCCTGGCAGTTTTATGAGATTTTTAAATACAATCATTTAATATTTCATACAATTCTTATAAGGAAGAACTTGCTTCAACAGTTGATTCATTTAAATGGCACTAGAAATTACTTATGCCTTTCTGTATAAATGCCATATACTCAATCTAAGTTCACTGTCAAAAAAAATTCTGTCTGAAAACTAAATTTTGTTTCTTAGCTACCTTTAGAAAACTTAGACTGTGACACAGACAACATTTGCTCTTCTGGCTTGCTTGTCACAATTAGCATTTCACATAATCTCCAAAGGATACATTTTTTTAAAGAAAAATATACAAGTCACAGTGAGTTTAAGTATTTCCCTCAAAATCTCATTCAGTCTCTTGATTCTAAAATGTAGGCTCTCTCCTTAACACTGTCAAGAAAACTAATCATATCAGCAACTTTAAAATGGCATATTAAACTCATTGAATTTACTATGTTTTTAAGATTAGAACATTTGGTGCAGTAAAATATTCAGTGCTCAAAAACAGAAAAGACATATGTCTTGTCTTAGTGAATATTACTGTAATTATACAACTTACTGAATATCACTGAAATATTTCTTACAGAATATACCTAAACATAGTTTTATCCAGTTATTGTAATATTTTAGTTTTCTTTGTAAGACTTTCAATTCACATATATCTATCCAATATCGATTTAGTTACTTATATATCAAATCTAATCCTATAAGCAAGAACATTAACAGGAGATTTTTTTTTTTACAAATATATAATGTAATTTCTTTGAGTCTTGGAAGTAGTTATGGTTTGTAGGAAATATTTGTAAATCATTTTATATATAAATAATCACAGATTCTGACTGATTTCAAAGTTGATATTAACAATTATATTGTTTCCAGAAAGTAACCTTACCTGTGTAACTTTTATATGATCATGGGGCGTGGGTTCACACAATCCAGTTAAATCAGGATTATAACTTCGTCCATCAGGGTAAAGATAACTGAATTTAAATATATACTTGATTACTATAAACATACAAGTTTTAACAGCATTTAAGCTTATTTACAGATTTCTTCTGCATTTAAACCAACATTTTTGCATGTAATATATTAATATCTACTTTCCATGTTATCACATAAGAAATACATAATATGGACTCAAACCACTAATTAGGTACTTTCATTATAGATACTTTACTATATAGTCCTTACAAATGTTAACATTTTTAACATACTGGTTAATTGGTTTCTATTCCAAAACCGTTGCAATATAACTCATGTTTTAATTAGTAGTATTGTTGTTATTAAGTAGTTGTACAAAGAGTTTCCAATTCTATGAGTCAGGTTATGAGTATAATGCTACTTGGTCAATGTCACCCCTTACATTGTTCTCCCCATTTTCCTCTCCCCTTACATACCAATATACTTCTATTTCAAATTATAATATTCTACTAGACTTCTCTATTCAAATTATTATAGTCCATTTCTAACTATACTTTGTTCTAGTTCCCCAATCTCTTTCTTCAGACAAAGCTTCCACTCCCATAATATATACACACGGAGATACCCTCATATATATATATATATATATATATATATATATATATATATATATATATATTCATTTACATATTTCTACAAATCAAATAATTTCAAATTCTATATTTCATTGATTTCAATAAAATTACAAACAGAAAGTTCAATTATCAGAGAGAACAGAAATCTGAAGAAAAATTGGCACTCAATACTAGGAAAGGATACAAAGAATGGCATATGATTAAAATTACTAAGAATATCTGCATATATTTACTGTGAGGGGCCAAACAGATTATCTCTACATTTCTTTCAACATGTTTATCTTTAAAAAATGGGAGGTAAATGTGTGAATTTAAAATTTTAACCAACAGTATATGATAAACTGAACTCAGCTAGTAACTTATGCTTCTGAATATGGTTTCATAATTTTTTTAAATTTGTTTGAGCAAAAGAGAAAGGGAAAGGAGTGAGTGTAGGGAGAGAAGGATATGAAGGAGGGACACATCTAATACTAACACAGACAATAAAAAGTAGCTCTTAAAAAAGTTAACTTTCCCTGAGGAAAGAGAAGTCGATTATTTTAAAGAATTTGCTTCATAAAACTGTTTTTGTTATTGTTGGTGGTCATGAGGCCTGAACTGAACTCTGGGGCTGGGCGCTGTCGCTCAGCTCTTCAGCGCAAGGCTAGGACTCTACCCCTTGAGCCACAGCGCCACTTCTGGCCTTTTCTGTTTATGTGGTGCTGAGGAATTGAACCTAGGGCCTCATGCATGCAAGGCAAGCACTCTACCAGTGAGCTACCTTCCCAGCCCCCATAATCCTATTTTTAAAGTTTTAAATATCAACTTTCCTCTTGAAAGGTATAAATTCATGATGTAATTCGATTTTGGAGTAAATTTGTTCTAACATAAAGGTCAATTAATTAGGTTATCATAAAAGGACAGGAGAGATGAACGCTAAGAATGAGGCAACAGCAAGACCAAAGAAGCCTGGAGACCCTAGTTTTGAGAGTTAAAAATCAGCCATCAGAATGTCATTATCACTACCCATTGTCTCCGTTGCTAGAAAGTCTGTATTTTCAAACTTGTGTCCATAAGCCCTCTGGCACCCATTTCCCATACTCACAAGCCTTCCCTGCTCCCATCAATCAGGGCTTGAAATAAGGGCTTGTTGTGAGGTATGGTCTGTAAGATATTGCCATCCCCTGTCACATAGCCAATCGCCCACTGTCCCAGGCGAGTGCAACTTAGCCGGAAAATGTAGCTGTGAAACGTGAGAGAAAGGATGTTGAACTGAACATGTGTTAAGCTGTTTTCTTTTTAAGCCAAAATAATAACAGCATCAGAACTCCTGACACAATCTACTATCGTTTACCATATTTTTAACACTATAATAGTTCACTGCTTATCCATCCAAAAATTTCTTTTCAATTGCATGTATACACAGTTATAGGAGAAAAGCAATTGGCTTGTAAACAATCAAGTGATTGGTTACCCTCACGGTTACAGATGTTGAGTATGAAAATGCTATGTTACGAAATGGCTACAACATAAACTATTTGAGGAAAACAAAAATGGTCTAAGAAAGTAAAATTTTAATTTGCCCACCTTAGACAGAGGCAATTTTTACTGTGCAACTCAACATTATTACTTCTTAATTTAAATGTTTTTTAAACTTTTTATTAATATAATAATTTGTTTTAAAATAACACATTTTCTCTCAAGCATTTGAGCATTTCATCCTATAAATGTATTTCAGAAGAGTTGAATGATACTAATGAAAAGCGTAAACTGGATAAAAGTTCATAGTTGCCACCTAAATTTGAAATATCTTTCAATAAAAAGCCAAAACAGTTCAAAACATGTATCAAGTCAATTACAAATTCTGAAACAATTAATTTCCAATGGAAAGAGACATTGACTTGGCTTCAAATCATCACCATCACCATCATCATCATCATCATCATCATCATCTACTTATTCATTTTGTTGCTTCAGCTTGGACAATCTCTGCTATTTAATGCAGGTCAAAATGAGTAAACTTTGGTTATATTTAAGCTGCTAGATGAGTTTAAGAAAAAAGCAAACATTGAATAAAGAAATGTATTTCAAATTGATTTAGTCATTGATGAACCAAGTGCCATACAAAAAACTTTACAAGATAGAATTGAGCATATTTCAAGGACATGAGTTCCTTAAGCTGTTCTCCATTTTGAGTTTAAACTAATAAAACATTAGCTACCTCATCAAACTATGCTTTGAGGGCTGTGGGTGGACTTCAATGACAGAATGTTATCGGTTTAATAGTTTTGTATATTTAACAGTGCAATATAATTTCACACATAAAAATGAGTGTTTTAAGAAAAGAAGAATTTGTGATTTTTTTCTATGAAGAACTCCATATTGGTTTAAAAAAAAAACTGTCAAAAATGGCCTTTGGAAAGATGTTTAAAAAGATTCCCCAAAGAGATCCTGAAAACATGTTATTAACTTGTCAATTATTTGCTATATTTCATCAGATTAAGATACAATATTTCTACCTAGCAAGGCAGCTACAATGTTACGAAAATTGAAAAGAAGTCACTATAAATTATAATTTAAAGGTTGTTAGTAACATGTTACACTAAGAAATGTATATGGATACATTCAAATCAATAGTAAAATGTAGAGTTCATAAAGATCTCTGTGAATGGTTAATTTTCATGAAATGAGTATAGTGTAATACTAAAATGAAAAAGTACAAATACAGTTAATATTTTGAAAGAATTTTCACATTTTTATATGCTAAGAATCTAATAAATGTTATATTTTAGTAAATAAGATATAAAATCATTCTTGTAAAATTACTCAGGTTATAATCAATATCCTTTTCCATTTTTCTAAGCACTGTTTTAGGATGGTGTTTCTAAAACTGGCTATTATAGAGAAATTCAAGTAATTCATGCAAATAACCATTATTATTTTATGAGAGTGGTAATATGGATTTGTTTGTATGCATTTTCAATTTCATTCACACATTTTTTCATCAGTTTCTGCTAACCTTTTTCTTCTCCCTCCCAAATCAAGTGTACTTATGCTTTATTTTTAAGACCTTGCTTCCCAAAATGCAATGCTTAGAAAAATCATAAATTTCTTCATATTGATAGGATGGTTTAGGATTCAAAAACATCTTTAATATTAAAAATTTCAAAGTGTTTTCTTAGATTCACAAAATTATATACATATACAACTATGTTATATATGCATTTATACACATTATTATATATGTATAAAAATTTGAGAATATGTATGTATAATTTGTGGCTATATATGCATATACATGTTTTTTTCCTTGGCACTGGGAAACCAAACTTGGGGTCTCGCACATGTCGGTCAAGTGTTCTGTCCTTGAGTTACACTCCTAGCCTCAAAGCAGTTTCACCACATTGCTAAGGTTCTGTTTGCTGGATCCCAAATGAAACAAAACTTAGGGAATTCATACGTTCTTGGAAAAGAACCAACAGTTTCATTTACTGTGAAGCCAAAAAAAAAAAAAAAAATGAAACACTTTCCAAGAGAAAGGACCAGTTAAACAGTCGTTCTGTAAAGCCAATATTTATCAAAACCATTTGAATTGTTCAAGAAATTTTTCTAAACATCTGAAAGCACCGATGTCTACTTTTACATATTATAATTTAGTACAGACTATCCATTTCAGTTCTTGCTATGCAAAAATCCGGTAAGGAGAGAACCTTGAATGAAACAAAAGGACTTTTCCCAGTCCCTGTCAAAGTAGAAGCATCATATCTTCTTTGAAGGTCACAAAAACAACCATTGGACTTAATTTAGACTAAAGATTCAAATTGTTTTCTGTACTCCCTAGCTCTTTTATGTATACTACACTAATTCTTTATTTTTTTAATGGAGATTTTTCACTTTGTTAGAGAAGAATGGAAACTCCTGGCTTACATCTAAGAAGACTGTTAAAGGTCAAATATCACATTCATTACAAATCAAATAAAAATGGTCCTAAAAGAAAGAAGATTTAACAAATAAAATAACCACTTCCATTCTTAAAATAAACTTATTTCCATTTGAAAAATCAGTATGCAGTAGACACTGAAACATCTGAAGTCTGCAAGGATGGGTCGCTATGTCGTTACAATTTCACTACTGCACTGCCCACTGTAGCAGAGATGTTGCTGTGTAAAGGCTTACAAGGTACATAACATACGTTAGATGGAATGTGGGAGAAACCCACTGAGCCATGGAAGAGATCAATTTTCTGGTCTTGAATTTCCAGTTAATGAGCTATGAATTCTAGGCCCAAGCCAAGACTGAATGGATAGTACTCAACCTATTGGTCTCCCTCAATTTTATCTCTGAAAAAAAAAAATTCTGAGGGTATAAAGGGACAGAAGGTACTAAAGATGTCTCCAAGGACATGAAATTGATTTACATTTTAACTATGGACTTACACATGCTTATGAAATTACTAAATACATATATGTATGTTTATCTGTATTTATGCATACTCACATTTGTTTATCATAAATCCTAACTGCTTTGTCCTCAAAAATTATCTAGTGAACATAAAACTTACTTGTTTATTTCATCTTTAAGCATAGAACTCAAGTTCTAAACATACGCATAGAAGTTTGTACAGAAAGAATCATAATCAGAATTCAATACCCCACACCTCCAATATGAAAAGCAAAACTAGGAGAATTAATGAATCCTTAAATTCATGAATTTACATAGTAATTCAGCCTTTTTTTCTCAATGAAAAGTTGTTTCAGAACAAGTACAACATATTGGTTGAATTACCCAGCACCCCTTTGGTTTATAAGGCTTTCCTCCCCACCCATTCCAGTCCAGCTTTGATCAGTATTACCAGTGTACTTAGCAATGAAATACCAGTGCTCAAACCTCTTACCTTCCAGGTTTGGTGCTGTACTTTTGTAGCCGTGCCTTAACTTCATCATATGTGAGAAATGCCATGTAACCTGGATGTGTTACAGCTAAGAAATTCCAATTTCGCAAAATAGAACCCCAAGGCTAAAAATATAAAGAAATTGAAATTGATTACCTAGAGAATATCAACTACTAATTTCATGCCAAACCACATTTCATATAATTAGAGAAATTCTTCTGTACACTGTTAAAAGTGAACATAAATTTATGTGGCTTCACTCAATTTTTTGCATCAATGTATCAATCTCTCTTTAATTGGATCAGGTGGACTCTCAGTGTCATAACAAGAGGAAAAAGAGTCAATGAGAGACCACTTCTCTTGAGGTGTGGTGAATCATTCCTAGGACATTTTTAAGGCTGAAGCTACATTCATTCCAAAAAATTGGCAGCACTACATCTTGTTGTGCCAGATATTGAACTCAGATAATTTCTACAAAAGAAAAAAGAAAAGATGTAGCATGGTTGCCAGGCTAAAGCTGTTTAAGTAAAGGTTGTCCTAAACATGATTATTGATAAAGAGTTCCTGCTTTTGTTTGCTTTGAGACTTGTTATTCATTATTGTAAAGCAAGTCTCAGATCTGCAAGGAAGAATTCTTCAAGAATTATGTCCCTTGAGATGAGAAAAACAAAGGAAAGAATGATTTTTTAGCTTTAAATATATAAGAGACAGATAACAAGGAAAACCTTTAGGGTATTTCACCATCACACTAAAATATCTAATTGGGTTAAAATGGAACTCTGGAGAATACTAACATGAAATGTTCTTTGTACCTGGAGGGGGGCGGGGTAAGTACATTTTTAAATTTTACCTTAAGGTGTCACTAAAAAAATCTAGAATAAAATGATACTTGGGGAAATATCAATACATACTGAAAAGTAACAGAACTGCTATCCTAGACATTGTTTTCTTTTCTTTTTTTTATTGCTACTCTGTCTTCAAAGGACAAGAATACAAAATATGAGATATTGAGGTCAATTCCATTAAAGCCCACACATATTGAGGAAACATTTGTTCTAAAAATTCTAAATTTTATATACAGCCAATGCACCAATCAAATACAAATGAAAACTAAAAATGAAATTGGAGCTTTGAGCCAACAGTTCCAGTATTTAGCAACCAATCCTTAGTACATAATTCACAGGGTCAATGATTAATTGCAAAAATATTTCTGTAACAGAATTAAATCTGTATGCTGTTTTTCTTGTAAATGCAACCCACTCAAAATAGTCAGGAATATTTGGTAAGTATTTTCTGTTTTGTCTTTCAAAAGTATCCTGGAAACTTGTGGCTTAATGGAGACAAAATAAAGTGCTTCAGAAAATAAGATTTATTTTTCTGATACACTGTTTTAGATTAAAAGACATTGTAAGCATAACACAAACTGATGGCTTTTTAAACAATGATATAAATTAATCAGAACAAAATGAGTTTTTCATTTCTCTATTTTATTAATACTCTATATTACCTGTTACTACAATATCATCTAAAATATTGCTTCCTCTCCTCCAAACCCTCAAGTTTATTGCCTATTTCTCAATGACCTATTTTTCTGTAATATGGTTTAGATGGAAGAATGGAAGCAACAGTTCCAGACAGAGAAAAGGAAAGCAAAATCTCTTCTTAGCACCTGTCTATCACAATGTCTCTCAATTATCTAGAGAAGAGAAAGGTAAATGGCGAAGTTTGCCACATGACTATAGCAAAATACACTCAAAGATTCTCCAGCATTTGCTTAAATTCTACCAATATGAGGACATGGAACCAGGAGAAAGAAAGCTTTCTTTTTTCATTGGTTATGAAAGTCTAACTTCATCTCTTAGCTCCTGATGACTCTTTCAAACTACAAGTCCTTATTGTCCCTTACTCACTTTTAGGTGACAATGTGAAAATATCATCCTACTAATAATTTTGAAAAGTAAAAACTGGAAAAATTAAATACCACCAGTAATTTCACAATACAGTAAAATGTCTATGTATTTACAGTATTTAACATAACTTACAATTTTAATGTAGTCTACATAAACATAAGGCATATATGTGTATATAAATTAGGGAAATGAACATTCAATATTACATTCATGAAAATAAAACATTGATGAAAATTAAACTATAGAATCCATTTCATCATATATTAAAGCATGTGTGTGATAATGACCAATTTACCTTCAAAATAAGCCTAGAAACCAAAACAAATGAAGAATCTCTGATGTAGAAGGAACTAACCATAGTTTTTGTTTGGTTTGGTTTGGTTTGGTTTGGTTTAGCAACTTCTGTACATTCTAACAAACTAGACATCTTTTGACCAGGTGAGATTTTGGTTTTATTATCAAAATGTCTTCCCAGCAGCTCTACTTATAAAGATCATATTTCCTGTCACATCCCAGTGTGCATATTATAAGGTATACATACCTTAAGTGTAGTGATGTTACTTGGCTATATTAAAGTGAAACGACTTATACTAAGCAGCAGTTTGGGATAGTACCTAACCAAAATTAAGTTGCTATAATATATTTAATAATAACTCTGAGGCATTCTAGCATTTAGGATCCATACTAAAAAGCCATCCAATCTTCTTAAAATGAGCAATTAGGTTTCAGATATAAAATTACTTCTTCTTCTTCTACCTTACAAGGTAAAGAAGCAAAAACATTTATTATTTAGAATGTTATGTACCACATTAAATGAATGCAATGTTTATCAGAATTTTTTTTTTCGGTCCTGGGGCTTGAACACTGGGCCTGGGCACTGGCCCTCAGCTCTTCAGCTCAAGTCTAGCACTCTACCACTTGAACCAAAGAGCCACTTTCAGTTTTCTGAGTGGTTTATTGCAGATCAGAGTTTATTTACCACAGCTAAGATATGGAACCAACCCAGATATCCTTCAGTAGATGAATGGATCAAGAAAATGTGGTATATATACACAATGGAATTCTTTGCCTCCATCAGAAAGAATGACATTCTCAGGAAATGGAAAGACTTGGAAAAAATTAAATTAAGTGAAGTAAGCCAGGCCCAAAGAAACATAGGTCCCATGGTTTGCCCTTATTTGCAATAACTAGTATATGTCTGAGTCAAGCAGAAAAGCTCAAATAAGTTGATGTTAGGGGAATGAACCCCAAGATAAGTATTCAAAAAATTTTTTTTTGTTTTCCTTTCATGCAATTGTTTCTAACATATTTATAAGATGATTTCTATGTTGCTTTGTATGTCCCTCCCCCACGGTATAACCCCCGCTTTCACTGTATTTGATGCTAGTATAAAAAATTTGTGGAGGGGAAGGGTAAAAATAAATCGTTTAACTAGAGATACAGGTGGACCCATTGCAACAATGAGATGTACAAGTCCTTATGTCGAAAACGAACTTTACAATTTTGGTGGTTGGGGGGAGGAGGGGAGTATGGGAAGGGATGGGAAGGGGAAACAAAGAGGAGGCAACAATGCTTGATAAGAAATGTACTCGTTATCTTGCCCATGTAATTGTAACTCCTCTATACGGTATTCTCACAATAAAAAAAAAAAATTAAAAAAATAAGTTTAACAGACTTTCCTGCCTGGGCTGGCTTTAAACTGCGATTCTCAGATCTCAGCCTCCTGAGTAGCTAGGATTAAAGGCATGAGCCACCAGCACCCCACTCAGAAATGTTTTAGAAGGAAGATTTAACATTATAAAAATTATCAATATTGGGTAGTACAATATTTTTCATGACTTCATCTTATAAAATGTAAACTGACAGCTTGTATACATCAAGGAAATAATCATGAAACTGCAACACATTTCAAGCAATGAAAGCATGCTTTTTGTAATATTTTCTCTAATTTCTTATCAAATATATAAGCTAGAATTATTTTGAAATGCTAATGAAATAAAATCTAGCCCTCTTCATATTGTTAGCAGAAGTTAATCTGTCTTCTATTAACAAGGTCTTTAATAAAATTAAATTAAACCTAGGCAGTGTTGTTTGCTTACATCAATCATTTAATCCTTTCATAGTCATCAACCAGATATAAAACATTAAAGTAATATTAATGTTACACCCTAGCATCTTTGAAAACATACTGCAGTCAAAATAAATCATAAAGTAAAACTGGTTCCTAATCCATTTACCTTACATATTATATAATATTGGAATTATAACAGATGTAACAGGGATTCTTAAACTGTGACCCACAAGCAATGTACTAATTTTAGTGGCAAAAAAACCCCTCTAAATACAATTTTCAAGTCTATTCAATAAGATATACTTATTCCTACACATACAAAAGAACAAAATGCAGCACCAAGCTATTAGCTCCTAAATAGTTATTTAAACATAATTATGGACAGTGCTAAAAACCAAAAACAGGAGGGAGGGAAAGAGTGACATTGTCAGAAAAAGAAATCTACTCTTTACCTTATTTATATAAATGTAACCCCTTTGAACATCATCTTTACAATAACAATAATCAAAAAATGAAGAGTAAATCTTAGATGAAAGAAGAAATACTAAATAATAAAGAAGAAAATCTAAATAAGTTAATACTGACATACAGTTTTGACTGAATATTACATAGGAACTGAAATTCATATGGATGAAGAATATTTGCTGACAGAAAAATGTTTGCGTAGAACACTTTTTTATTTTTTGGTTTGATTTTTTAATTTAAATTTTATTGTAAAGGTGATGCTCAGAGGGGTTACAGTTCCATATATAAAGTAATGAGTAGATTTCTTTTTGAACAGTATTCCCCCACTACCTCATTTTCTTCTACTTTCCTCACCCTGACCAACATAGTGTCTTGATATCACTGTTGAATTGGTGCACACTTTGTCCCACTGTCTGTGATTCCCCTTACTTCTCCCAAATCAGATAGACTTATGTACAAAACAAAGGATACAGAACTCAAAACAGTAACAACAGGGAATAAAGCAAAGGAGAAAAAACATAACTTCAAGCAGTACAATTAAAAAATGCATATAGCTACTAAGCCATTGTGATCCTCTCCTAAGAATATCCTCCTTTGTTTGCAGTGTGCAGATGCTTAGAGTGCCGTGCTGTGGAATCAGCCAAGATGCCACTCAATGGATGAATGGATCAAGAAAATGTGTTATATAGACGCAATGGAATGACACTGTCCCATTCATAAGGAAATGGTAAGACTTGGAAAAATTATATTAAGTGATATAAGCCAGAACCAAAGAAACACAGGCTGCATGGTTTCTCTCATTTGATAACTAGAATGTCTATAAGTCTACAAATTAATCCAATGAATAGTAAAAGACAGATAATTACACGTGGACATGATTAATTAAACAACAATTTTTCAAACTGATGAAATAGAAAATTTCTATCTGAGGTTGGCTATTCTACCTTAAGTGTGTGAACTAATGAATACCATAGGCAAAAAGATGTCAACAACTCTGGCAAACACCCATCTGTGAATGCTGTGATCTATCAATTGAAGACGGTGTAAAAGTAAAAAGAGGGTTTAATCTACAAGTTCTTTCCATAATTTCCCCCAGATCCAACAAGCAACCATCACACTCACCGGACCAGATACTCTAGACTTCTGCCAACCACTTCCTGTAAACATAGAGGAATAATCAAACAATCCCATGATTATCATTACTGCCAAGAATACAAATCATTTCAATGAGTTTGTGAATGTATGTTTGAGATATACACAGACATGCATGTACACACAGAGTAAGAAAAGAAAGAGACAGATAGATTAAGTATAAATCTTACCTGAAATAGCCTGGTAAAAATATCAAATTCAAAAACTGAAATATAATCATTGCAAGTTAAGTCAATCGTTGACTTTAGGGCCATTGCTTCCAGGCCAGAGCTAATTTGATGGACCTCATGAAGGCACTGTCTGAATACTTTCCATGGGACGATGGTTCTGTGCAGAAGAAAAACAAAATAGGTAACTGAATCAAGTGTCATAAAAGACACTTTTTCCCAATGTCCAACCTTCACCTTTTGCCTGACATGAAAAGCAGTGACACCAATTATGCATTTTTTTAGTCATATTCCTCCTTTTAGATTGCCAAATCTATTTCTCATATTTAGAAAATATGATCTCCAGTCTTCAAAGTAGGAAAGCACAAGACTTGTATCTTCTATTTTTCTCTACCATTGTCTCTTGGAACACAAATACTAAACAGAAATGGAGTAAATATTCAAGCTCCACAACTGACAAAAAAAAAAAAAAAAAAAAAAAAACCTTTGGGATAAGATGTGTGATGCTACAAGTTTAACAAAGTGCGTACACACACACACACACACACACACACACACCAACTAGTGTGTGTGTGTGTGTGTGTGTGTGTGTGTGTGTGTGTGTGTGTGTGTATTTTAGTTGACATATACCCGGTAAGTTTGAAGGAATTCCAAAGAATTCGGTGAGAACTCATTCAGTGGAATGAGCAAATGATATGAAACATGAACAAATGATAAGACAAGCTTACAACACTAAGTTGAATTTACAAGAAAGCTTAGGTCTAAAGTACCATTAAAAAAGAAAACTAGAAGACTTAATGTCTCATAAAGCTTTTATGAAAAAAAAAAAACAAAAAAAAACAGGAAACCACAGAGAAGTATAGTGAGACACCACATCAGATGTCATTTAAGAGAAACACACGTCAGAACTGGGCTAAGGTTATCCAAATGATACTGTTTTAAGAGAACATGAAAATCTTTTAATATTAGAAAGAGCACAAAGTACAGCAAAATGTACATCAACAACTAAGCCAAGCTTCTACACAGTGCCCATCATAGTAACATCCAAGGGGCACATTTCCTTTCCACATTAAAGAGCCTAACACATAACACATACAAAGAAAATAAACCAGAATATTTTAAAGAAGCAAAGAACCAGTGAATGGCACACATGTTATCTTTCCTGGGAAAGTATAGCTTTGTTTTGCGTTGTGCACATGCAGTAAAATGAGGTGGTCAAATAAAAAGCTTCAATGTTTGCTTTTTGTGTATAATAAACAACATGAAACAACAGGCTACAGAGGTATTCTCCATGTTGCCATATGAAATTATTATCATCCAATATTTTAACTCATTTGAATACTCAGTGATTCTTCCTGAGAACATCATATGAAATTTATAAACTTCCAAAATTTTGCTCTAACATACCACTTCCAGGACAATTTCTAAACCAAAGAGCTGCATCTCCTCAGTTCTTCTATAATGAGACTTTATCACTACTCTTTGTGATAAACAAAGCAGGCATTCATTCATTGTAATCTTCTTTTTGGATAGTAAGAATTAAGAAGCTATGGCATTGTTTGGTTATTTTTTCCCATGGAAAATTTGTGATTAAAAAGTATGTGACCTGGCACTGGTGGCTAAAAAAAAAAAAGAAAAGAAAGAACAAGAAAAAGAAAAGAATGTAACAAAAGCCCTGTGTTGATGGACTTAGTTAGCAAAACATCCATGTGTAGGAGGTGAGAAGATGAGTGGGCGTGAGGAGATTTGGGCGTGAGGAGATTCAAAGTGTAAAGACATATAAACAACAAACAAACAATGCATTAGTCCAAACCTGCTCCACTTAGAAGGTAAATGTCCCTAATAAGACTGGAAGTGGCTACAGAATTCTTTCTGGAGGTGGAAGAGGAGGGTGGGAGGAGCCTACAAAGATGCCACAAAAGTAATTCCACTCCCTCTTCCCCTAGAGATGAAACCCAAACAAAAAATGCTAATGGCAGGTTGTTTTACAAACCAGAAAGTTAGGTGTGGTAGAAATGATCTAAGGAAGAGAGGGAAGATTTTTTTTTTTTTTTAAAAAAGTGAAATGCATAAAAAGAGTGAACTTGTTTCAAGACACCTCAAGAAATGACAGGTTCTTTTTGCTACTTATAATTATGAGTGTATGTTGAATTGCCTTTACAATAAACCTGAAACCACGTATAGCTGTCAGTCCACAAGAAACAGAATATAAGACCAATGCATAGCCAGGCCCCTGTTATAATAATATTATGATGGGATCTTTAAAGTTCTTGTAAGAGCTGCCATTACTGAAACTTACCACCAACATAGAAATCTTTGAATGAGTTTCTGAAAACTGATAGTTTTATTCATATACTGCCATGAGAAACAAGATTATGTTAAATAAGGCTTAATGCAATTCTGTATTTAGACAATGGATCTTATTATACCAAAAATGAATGATTGAATGAAAGCATAAAATCAAGATGAATTAGTTTTCAACAGCTGTGTAAAACAGAGTACTCTTCAGAGAAAATAAGATTCATTACTCAGGAAAACATAATGTGTCAGTGGGTCAGCAACTGACAGGTCATTTAATCTTCCTGGATAAAAGTGGATATATGTAGTATATTAATTTGAAAATGCTGCAATTTTAAAACAAAAGCAAAAGAAATGAGAATTGTAGGAAGTCAAAACAGGTAAGCCATTTTCAAAATACGTCAGTGCTTAACATGGACCATGGGAAATAGAAACATTTCACATAAATGAAGGAGGGGATAACAAATTTGGCAAGAAATGTACCTATTACCTCACTTATGTAACTGTAACCTCTCTGTATATCACCTTGAGAAAAAAATTTTAAAGATGTTTGAATATCACCAACATATGTAGTGTTTAGAAACATGGGTTAGAATGCAAAATTATACAGCACTTCAGGAAGGCAAACTAGTGACCAAGTCCAAAAATGTTCAGTTAATTTTGACCCAGGAAGTCCAGTTCTAGGAAATGTTGTGCAAGAACATTTGTGTCCAAAAAAAGAGCAATGCAAAAACTAACCCACATGTTTCCTTGAGGTAATATCATTTATAATAGCAAAAAATCAAAAGCAAGTAAGTTGATGAGTAAAGATAGAACATAAAAACATTTTACAACAATTAAAATTTCTCAGAAAAATATTAGTCATGTTAAGTATGTATGGCAGATTATTAGATTAAAAATAGTATTTTCAAACGTATAGATTATGATTATTATATCTTTTTTTCAAAATTGTGCATAAGGTCTGAAAAGATAATCAAAAATTTGAATTGGTGATACAAATTGATGAAAACTTTATTGTGGAAAAACTTTGATATTAAAAACAAATCTTTTTTTGTAATAGCTAGTATATGCCTAGCATAATCTTACTAGACAAGCAGAAAAGGTCAAAAGCTATGTAAATATGACCATATAAGATGATGCTAAGCAAAATAAACTCCAAGATAGGGACACAAGAGGTTTTATCTTTCTAGCTGTTGTTTCTAATGTACTATTTCATTTTTTTTTCTTCTTTTGTATGTTCTTCCCCCACAGTATAACCCCCGTTTTCACTGTACTTGATTCCAGTGCCATATACGTTGTATATACATTTTCTAATTTGGGGAGCGGAAGGGAAATAACAAATGCTGAAATAAGGATACATGTTCACCCACTGTAATAATGAGATATACAAGACATTATGTTGAAAATGAACTTTACCACTTGAGGAAGGGAGGGAGGTGTTGGGGAGATGGAGAAGGATGGAATGGTAAGGGAAAAACAAAGGAGAGGGTAACAATGCTCCATAGGAAATGTACTCATTACCTTACTCATGTGACTGTAACCCCTCTGTACAGTATCTTTACAATTATACATATATATACATATAACTTTTTTCTAAAAAACAAAAGGAAAAGAAAAATAAAACAGCAACAAGACCAACTAAAAATTACCCCCTTTCCTCTTCGTGGGGTTCATTTTATAAACTATTATTTTATATGATCCTATGCATTACCTGATTCATTTTCCTGTAAACCCTTTATGTATCAACTGTACAATAATAAAAATAAAAACAAAATTTAAGAAAAACATTTTTTCTGGGTTTGTTCAGTTTTAAATCTTTCTATTTTCTAGTATGCTCTTAGAGATTATAGTAATACAAGCCATTGTAAAATCTGTGAAATATATTATGTAACAATCAAATAAAAGCAAAGCACTATTTGTCTATGGTCTTATATCTAGAAAATATAAAAATTTACTGATTAAACTATGAGAAATCAGAATGAAATTGTACATATTTGCTGAATATCAATAATCATACTTCCATATATCAGCCACATAAAAGTAGAAAATAAAACTTTATTTTTACAGTGCTACCAGAGAAGAATACCAAATACAAATGAAGCTAGCAAAAGATGAACAAAGCCAACACACACACACACACATACACAGAGTCAACAATGAAAAGACATAAAGAGATTGAATACTTTAATAGATTCACAATCTCAGTGTTATGTCAATTACCCTGAAATTGATCAACTGATTTAATACAACCTTTAAGAAAAATCACAGGAGACAGTGAAGAAATAAGGTGATTCTAAACTTCACAGGGAAATGTCAGGAGCCAACATTAAACAAGAGAATCTTCAGTAACAACAATACTGAAAAGCTTTTATGGTTTACATCAGTTTAGACTGTGGCATGGACACATGAACAGACAGAAAAATGAAACAAAACTAAAAACTGAGGAACAAATACTTCCACATATGGGAATGCAATATACATAGAGCATCATTATATATGAACAATACTGCTTTTACAAATGATGTTTTAGGATACGTGGTGGTAGGTGCAATGTAGACATACATGGAAGTAAATTAAAAATTTGATGAAATTCTACTCCATCCCAGAGGAATGAAATTACTAGCATAGGCTGAATCAGGTGCCTGTGGCTCCAGCCTACAACCCATCTACTTAGGAGGATCAGATTTGAAGCTCATTCTAGGCAGCAAAATTTTCCAGATAAATTCTCAACATATAGCTGGCTATCGTGGCACATGCCTGCCATCCCTAGCTATGTGGAAGATTAAGAATGGGAGAGCAGTGTTCCTAGCCAGTTCTGGCAGAGAAGTCTATATAAGACTCTTCTCAATGAAAGGAAGTCAG